ATGGAAGCCAAAGTCATATTTTGAAGAAAGTCCGGCCCGATGCACCAATAGCGTGTAAAGGGTGTTTGCGAGTGCATGTGTCTCCAAGACGAAATTACACAATTCATGAATTATAACATATATAGTAGAGTTTCACGTCACATGTTACTATCTGAGATCGAGTGAGAAACTATATTGTCAAACAGATTGTGGGAGAACACTTCGTCAGATACAAGGAGACAAGGAGGTTTTTTTTTACAGAAGGAAGCCTCCAACCAGGGCGCTATAATAACGAATAGTTAAATACGAAAATTAGACAACACACAAGAAAAAGATACATTGACGACAAAGAGACTATATACAAACTTGTGTCACTTATCGATCTCTAGGGTAACTAACTAGTCCTCCCCATGACTCCCGGCAACAAAAGTGGACGCTAGTGATCAATATTATACAATGTGAATAATAGTATTTATTTGTTGCAATAACGCTAGTTGTAGGAACAACTATAACAGTGAAAATTTAGACGAGGCAGATGTACTGATCTGCACAAGACGGATCTGTTATACGACAGTAAAGAAGGGCATGGGTGTTCACAGCACGCTCATCGGGCAGAACAATCAAAGAAGACAACGGTGCCTTCTCCATGACAACCAGCGGCGTAGCGATGGAGTTGATGGCAGTAACGTAAGCGTTCGCTTTGTTCGAAACACAAAACTACACCCGCGCATGTGTACTCAGTGATTTAATCAGTCAGTATGATCCGGAGGGTCCAAGCAGGTTCAGTGCGAAGACAATGGCTTGAATAATTACAGAAGTCCACTGTGAGTGGAGTAACCTATATTTTCCTGCTGGGAGAGGCGGACATCGATGGAAATGAAAGAGCTGATAAGTTGGCTGAATCCGCTATCACTATTAACAGTCAACCTATGGATCTTGCTGATACTATTTTTGCCCTTAGAGAAATGGAAAGACTGGAGGACTTTGAGGACAGTGAATCCACATCACTCGACAGAATGATATACTTTATGTTAAAATCGGCATAGCAAATAAAAAGAGACGCACACTAGGTACATCAGAGGACGTGTAATGAACATAGAACTGGTACTATGAGCCAGCGGATGCTGGGGTTCGTACTTAGGGAAGCATCTGAGCACCCATGGATATGTACGGAGTGCAATGACGATAACCTAACTAACTAGCTAACTAACAACTATCATTCTGAGTACTGCCTATGAACAAATCCATCTCTTTACCTAGATATTGTACTGCACAACGAATACCGCTTGTATGCTGACGGGGCCACACCACTGGCTAAACTACGTGAAGGAAGGGGTAGTATTGTACTTAAAGGGTAAGTACATCCCCAGTTCACGAAGACTGGGACGATGAACAAGGTGGGAGAATCTATACAGACCAACAGGTTGTCAATCGAACAGCTGAGTATGTGACACATTGAGGAGAACGTTAAGGAACACATCTGGCTAGCAGCAAAGAGAGTGGTAGCTCGCACTGTAACATCTCATTGTTAGCCCAAGCATCACAACAACAAAATCACAACACTCTAGGAAAATATGTACTGGAAGGAGGTAGGAGGTGGGGTGGATGGATAATGCGTTTAATTCAAGCGAGCAAAAGGCACACAACGATAACGTTGGGAGAATACATTCAAGAGATTAACCAGCAGCGGTCTAGAGAATGGCCATTAAGTGCAAAAGACAGAGTGTATTTTAGATAAACGGCAGTCAACGTTTGTTGTGAAGACGACATCTTGTTCATCTATTAAAATGAGCCAATGGTAGCTAAAGACAGTATTAAGCATGAACAAGATTTTGCATGTGGAGTTAGGTGTAAATTTAACAAAAAGACATGTGCGAAAAGAAAAGTTCAACAAGTGTACTACTGAAACTATTCATACTGACACTATGCAAAATTTGCATCAGATGAAGCGTATCTATTACTATTATCATAATAAAATCAACAAGTTACAAGTTGTCAGCATAAAACAATTTCGAAAAATGTATTTAAATAAATTACAGAACCCACTGACATACTAACATTAATAGCAGACAAATGAAACAAGTATTATTTCCTTAAAGAGTGAGATAGTCAAGCAGTAAATGTGTTCTTACCATTTTTTGATGGATTTCGGCTCCTTGGAAGGAATTTTATTTATAAATTCATAAGTTGCAGCAAAACCTGAAAACAAAGGATAGATTTAAATGATGGGAAGAATCTTAACTAGAGACTTTTGATACATGTGAAACATCAAGCAGCCAACTGATGGCAACGAAATATCTAATGTCAGCGGAAATCTGATTCCTGTATATATATATTTAAAAAAATGCAACAATCAAAAAACATATAATGAGGGGGCACAAATGTTGTAAATGTAAAATCTGGTTCAGTCGGCCTGCTTCTGAGTTGAGTGCATTGGCGACCCAAAGATTTCAGTAAAAAAATTCTTCCACCTGTGCACCCGGTGAACTGTGTTGTGAACAGCATTTTCGGGAAATAACGACTGGCTCGTTGCTAGAGAACTTGCTGTTATTCCTTATGCAGTAATGCGTGTGCACCTGCTGTTATTTTTTGTCGTGACTTCTGCTTCCATCAAGGAAGTTAGTTTTTCGCAAGACTGCTGCTGAATTCGAGTGGTTTTTGATGGCACAGTGACGAGACAATGATGAAGTGACCCGTTTGCTGTAAAGTTGGAGCAGTCACTGATAAGTGACATGACGAGTGGTCAAGTTTCAGGGTCAAAATTAACAGGAAACATGAGCAAGAGGAAAACAGAAGTACCTCGATGGCTTTGTCCCATGAGATAACTGGGACAAAAACATACTAGATAAGAGACGCGACGAAAATATGTGATAGCGTACAAAGACCCGTACGCACCAGTGTTTCCCAGACTTGTTTAGACCACATATCTTTTTCACTGAAAAATCTGCAGAATCACAGATCATGTCAGTGCCATTGTCCCGCCCCATCATGTCGCCAAACCTTTAAGGTATTTATCTTTTTGTTTTCACCATGACCTCTTTTTATCTGTCTTGCTTGTTGTCACCACGTTCTAGAGTCTATTGCTTGCCTTGAAATATACCCTCCGTGATCAGAAAACACACACACACACACACACACACACACACACACAAACTGAATGATATAAAGGCAATTTTGTTTTGTATGTCTTACGTTCCACGCGTCACAATATGCTCTGGTCTGTAATGTATAAGGTATTCTCTCAACTACAATTAACACTTCGTTTCAGAGTGATCTTCTCGTTTTAGAGCCCTGAAACAAATAGTGTTGCACGAGGTTTCCTACAACCTACGTAAGCTCTGTCTTTCCATTTCTATAAATCTATAATAGGCTGGACTTCACTGCTGGACTAGATCTGTCCATTGGTGCTGTCCTGTTTGAAGAGTGAGAAGAATTATATTAAGTACGTCAATATGGCATCTTTTTAACTAGTTAAACTGGAGTTTGTCCAGTTCAAATCAGGATTAGTGCCTCTGCTCTGAAGTTGACGCAAGCTTTTCATTCTGACATTGATGTGCTTCTATGCTGCAGTAATAGTGTGTAATATAGATTCCCACTTTTTTTTTTAATGGCTTTTTTGCCAAAACCGTCTAAGATTATACGTTGCGAAATTTTGGAGGCATATTTAGGAATATATAAACTGAATAAGCTCTCTGCTCTGATTAAGTTTGTTCTTGCTGTAATTTATTCCCGAGAATTTCAGAAGTGTAAGAATGTATAGTGAATCCATAGTTCTGGTGTGAGAATTTCACATATATATTTGTCGGTTTTTATATTTGCATGTTGTGTCAAAGTTTATCTTACAAAATTATTTATACTGTTTTCTTGAAAGTTTTCTTCTTCTTAAAATAAATGGCACAGCAGAAGGATTGGGAGCGTCGTAAGCTATTAAAGATACGTACGAAATATGTAATGTCTACGAAATCCAAAGGGGTTTCAAGAAAACAGTTTTGCTGGGTTTTTAAAGGGCGGGGCGGGAGGAGGGAGGATTTCTTTTTATTCCATGTGTGGTTGTGGGCATATGTTGGTGTCTGTACATGTGATGGTATATGTGTGTATGCATGGGTGCATGTATAGCTGTTATGTATGGAATGTGTGTGTGCATGTATATCCATAAATGTATGTGTCTGTGTTTTCTGTTTGTGCATTTATGTCTATGTATGTGTATGCTTGTATATGTATGTAGATGCGTATGTGTATGTCTCACGTATGTCTGTAAATGAGTTCGCATGTATGAGAACGTAGGAGTATGTATACGTGTGTGTGAGTGTGTACGATTGTGTACACATGATGTGTGTATGCATTGTACTATAATTTATATTTCTTTATTATATCTATAACATGCATTATTGATAACAGGTATTTGTACTCTGAAAAATGAGTACTTAGAAGGGCCGACTGTCAGACGGGCCTGCGTGCCCAATTCGTTCGTTCGTTCGGTTTGATTGGTAAGCCCATGTTTTGAATCTCGCACAGTTATCGCAAGATCGTTTTATTGTTTCAGCCTTTAAGGCTGAGGTGTATTCCATTATAGGCCTACCTGCTCCAGTGTAGACTAGCATTTGTGTTATTGAAGAGGCTTTATCCACTTTTGTTTTCAATACACCAAGCCTTTTTAGGCCTGTTATTGGGATTTGAGAGGGAAAAGGGAGAGAGAAAGGGAGGGATGCATTTTATATTGCGCCTTTTCTGTAGAATGACAATAAATGTTGGATTATACAAGAAAACTATAAGAAGTCATTTGGTTGTGTAATAAGAAGAGGGACAGTGAAGAAAACTGTCAAATGGAAATATCGGCGGCAGAAAAGACGGAGAGATAGCCAAAGCTGCATTCTGAATATCACTAGAACTCTCACATAATACAATGACATGTGATCAGTGAAGACTTTGAAATGACTACGCCATGTGACAGGGCACATGACAGTTATTATTGTTGAGAGAATTTTAGGTTTGTTGTACAAATTGAGTTCAGCGTCTCTAACCTTGCTTTTCGTTTCTGTCATCACAGGTGAAGGCCACATAAAGGTTAGTTCCGGTGGATATGACCTCTTCTGCGTTATGAATGCCGCAGAATTGACCAATCACAGCCGACGTGTTATCTATGCCGTCATAGACTGTTATGACGTCAGGACTATCTCGACAACTGAGGAAGAGACATGAAACATATTACATTATCTATTTCGGAAAGGCAGACGAATGTACAGACATTAACAGAAAGACAGACACAGGGAGAACGAAGGAACGTAGACGGATCAACAGATAGACAGGTGGACACATGGAACGATGAACAAATAGAAAGACGGATGGTCTACAAGCCTTCAGATGGACGGACGGACGGACAGAGACGGCAGGACAGGGGGATAAAAAGGCGAAAAGTCATTAAGACAGACAGGTAGAGATATTGGTATAAACGCAGATGAACATTCATGGATGATGGGTTGACTGATTGACAGACATAAGATTCAGAATACATATACATACAGTGGTCTCCATGGTTAAGTAGGTATGCACTTTTCCACCCTCGGTCATTGGAGGACAAGTATAAGGAAAAATTATGTGAAGCAAAGGCTACATCCCCCAACTCGGTTCACCAGTGCAGGTGAGCCCTGGGAGTCGTCGCTAGAGCTTCGGAGTCTCGAGTTTAGTGCGACGGTCTCGGCAGACTGACAGCAGCTCTATAAGTGAGAGATTTAGCCGTTTAGGGTAATCCTCGGAGCAGTAAAGTCTCTTTTAATATCTAAAGGACCTTTTATTAAACATAAAGATCATTATGTACAAACAAACATAGGATGATTGAAAGAAGACAAACGATAAATAATACAACATAGTCAGACAGAAATAAAGAAGACGTATAGGCAGGCTAAAAAAAACATTTACCCATGGCAGAGATGTGGTTTGTGAGAAGAATGCAAAGAATGTCACTGACGGATACGTAAAACAAACGAAGCAGTCAGTCCTCATCAAGATAGGCCAACGAAAATCGTAAACTTACTAGAACGATTAGACGTAAAAAGTAAGTAGGTAAAGACCCCTTTTCACGCATTTAGGCGTATCGGGTATATGGGAAGAGATCCCATATTTTTATAGACCATCAGCACTAGGTGGGTAATGTGGTCAGCATTACGCCAGCCGTCTTTACTTCCCCACGAAAGCCATCCATTTTAGGTTGGGTCGACCTGCGATAATTAGACGCAGACAGTCAATTTCATCTGCAGATATTACAGGAAGCGATGGACTTGAGAAGTTAGTAAAAACTATCAAGATTGAAGGGAAGAGAACAAAACTACAATAAGAATGGGGCGAGACAAAAACATTAAACTAATCCGTGATTCTGGAGATGGTGTGCATGTTTAGTGCATGTCCTGTAATGTATGTCTCATCACTAGGCATTATCTCTAACTGGTCAAATAAATAGATACCTGAATGGCCTAGCCAGCGGGAGGGGCCAAGTCAAAAACATTGAACTGATCTATGATTCTGGTGATGGAATGAGATGGCGATATACGAAAGCCTATGGCCTTCGCTTACAGGCACGGCACATGATGATAATGATAGGCACACGAAACACGACTGACACATACAAAAAAAAAAAAGCAAATAATGTATATGGTAATCTAACAATACAGGCAGACATACTGTCAAGGCCTGCAGACAGAAATATAAGGCAGGCAGGACATACTTAATAATTCAGGACTGGACATAAGGCAGATAGGACATAAGAAATTAAGGACAGGACAGGTGAAAACAGTAGACAGACATGATAATCAGGGAGATTCAAGTTAGGACAGACATCAACAAAATAATAGGGTTGCAGAATTATACAGATACAATTATACAGAGGATGCGGGTGCAAAGATATAGCAGGAACAAGAGTTAGACAGAAACATAAATAGCAAACCAGACAGGCGGTTACGTGAATACATTAGTTTGTTTGAAACGAACTAAACAAAAGCAACTGTTAGGAAGCAAGCATGGAAGTTGTGTCGTCCTGAAGGAGTCACTGTAGCCTAAGTCAGGCATGCCCTAGCTAGTTATGTGGTCCTAAATCTTTTGGTTTAAGAACGCCTCCTCCCCCCCCCCCTCTCTCGGTCATCCGTCACACTGAAAAGTATAAAACAAGTTAGCAGCTTAACCTTTACCAACCCCAGCATTGTTTGGCTATGTGTGATTTCAATGTCCTCAGTAGTTTGTCACTGCTTACTGGATGGTCGGCTCTGGATACCACTGTCGCAACCAAGCAAGGTGGTCTGCTGCAAAATCACCCGCAGCTGGAGTCGAACTCCCGCACCCCGTAATTATGAAGCGTGCTCGCAACACCTAAGCTTCAGACGCCAACGGAAGGAACAAGTGTAAACACAGGAAGAAAAACAGCTGCGTAACAGAATAAATCTTCTGCTTAAGCCGCTGTGGCATAGAGTTTCTTGATCAGGCTTTCCAAACTAGTAGTTGAGGTTGAGTTCTTAGAAAATGTAGTTTGTGACTGAAGACTCATAAACTCTAATGATTGGTTGGGGCATGTAGACAGGAGGCCCGATAACAGAAAGACAAAAACTGCCTACACGAGAGAGTTGAAATAGAGTAGACCGCGAGGCAGATCAAAACGACCGCCATAGATAATATACAGGCAGACCTAGAAACATTTTAAGTCTTCTTCTTCTTACTATGTCCTTCTCTTTTGGTACATGTCTTGTCTGGTATACCGTCGCAGGGCATTCTCTTTAAGTGGTTGAATCATTTTATTTGTTGTATTTATATGTAATTTAGAATTGTTTTGCGCCGACACTTTCTCTTAGGACTTCGTTCTTCATTTAATCTCTTCTGGTCACTCCTACAACTTTCCTCAGACATCTAGGTTAGTGTTCGGAACGAATACATCTGAGCAATTATGTTCTTTCACTATGTAGACCGTATAAATGGTGAGTTGTAGACCGAGTTATTGTGTAGGCGGTATTTATATTGTCAATTTTCCCCGTGTGGGTTCCGGGGCCCTATTATAGGGAAAACAGAACAGACCCACTTCCTACCTAAAAACATGTCGTAAGAGTCGACTAATTAATTAGGATCTTCCTTCGAAGTCGGAGTGCATCTGCTAGAGAGGCAAGGAACCAGCAGTCTGCATACAAATGAGTCAGATATGTAAAACGGATGCACACTAAACACTCATGTTCTGGAACAGGACTGCAGCCCAGAAGTGGGTGAACAACCAAATCTTTCCGCCAGAGTTTACAGTTGGTGAACGCCAAGAAGAAGAAGAAGAAGAAGAAGAAGAAAATATTGTCAGTTTTACACTGAATAAGACTGCCCACATCTGGTCTATTGTAAATTCGTCTACTTTTTGTTAGTCACTGCAATGAAGCTACATATACACAAATGGCATACAAGTTGTCAGTTTTACACACACCGCAAATGCAGACCTGAGGGTCAGTTTTACACGAGGCGCGTTTTATTAGTATGTCCCGGTATAAAATTTAAAAATAACCATCATATATGAAAATGATTTATTCCAGTCAAAAGTGAACCACACATTTTCATTATTTCTCAACATAGTCACCATTGACTTCAACACATTTTTGGTATCGGGGCGCAGGGTTTTTAATTCCAGTGTCATAGAAGTCTGCCGTCAGTGTCTTCAACCAGTCGTTAACGCCTGTCTGTAGTTGATCGTGGGGTTTAAACCTCTTGTATGCCAGCGACTTCTTTAGGTGCATGAAAAGGTGGTAATCACTTGGCGCCAGATTAGGGCTGTAGGGCGGGTGCCAAACAATTTCCCAGTGACATTTTTTGCAACTATTGAACAGTTCCGTCCGCCAAGGTTTCTTGTCCCAATGTGGTAAATCAGTGAACGTGAAACTTACGAAAATTGGACAGACAAAGCAGAAAATGTGAAACGACGATTTTCCTGAATTTCTTTGGTTCACTTCTTTCCCCACATCGTCTGTTACCCCACTCGGCCGACCGCTACGATCTTCATCATTGATATTTGTTCGCCCTTCTGTAAACATTCGACACCATTTACTAACCATACTATCAGTCATAACATCTGGCTCATAAACCTCAATGAGTTGCCTGTGAATTTCTATAATACTGTTGTATTTTGCTAGGGAAAAAATGATCACAGCACGAACCTCGCAACTGGCAGGAGTATTTTTTTTTTGCTTACTTACTTACTTACTTAGTCGCTCCTCTTCTACCTTGGGGTGTAGAGGTTTGCCAGAGAGATCGCCAGACGTCTCTATCAGCAGTTTTCTTTCTGGCTTTGTTCCATTCCAGTCCTCTGTCGGTTAGGGACTGTCGGATGTTGTCTTCCCAGCGCCCCCTGGGTCGTCCCGGAGGTCTGGTTCCCTGGTTCTTAGCCTCCCATGCTTGCCATGGTGGCCGATTTTCTCCCATTCTGCATACATGTCCAAACCATCGTAACTGTGACTGATCTACTCGGGTTACTAAGGGCTGGGTATCACTTATTAAAAATCACTCACAGGCAGCACCAAACAAGATCCCGACAGTGAAAAAACAGCCCACAGCTTGCTAATGAACCACATAAACATACTGCACATACACATTTAGGTTTTCCTTCAGTGTTTTTTTGCTACGGTCAAAACGGGACTTGCTTAAGGAAGGAGCCTCGTATATGCAGGCGACATGCAGTTATTGTTAATAATGAAAGACGTTAGCGATGACACCGTCAGTCTCACACAAGCGACATATAATTGACACACAATTAGACAATATTACGCAAGATACTTTTTCAGCCAGCAAACAGTTATTTCTTGATCAGACCGGGTATGCAGGCACGAAACAATTAGTCAAGTTTGCATGAACTGCGTATATAGATATTTCTGCTAGTTTTACACAAGATACATATACAAAAGGCACACACTTTGTCAACGCCAGGCAAGACCTATTTACAGGTACCACAGGATCAGTTTTACGTAATGCAGATATGCAGAAAACACACAATTAGTTAATTGTTTTACAGTTATCTTTGCACGCGTCACTCCATTACCTGTAAAGGTCATTGCTGTAAAAAATTTAAAACATACAACAAGCAATTACTTTATTGAAAACACCAGCTATATGTTTGATAAAAGAAAAGGAAAAAAAAAATACCACTTTATGTAGAAATGAAAGCAGTTAATGCCATTCTGAAGTAATAATCATCATTTGGTGCCATATCCACCCCCTACACCCACACCCATCCATCCAACCACACACACACACACAAACACACACACACACACACACACACAGGATTCTCCAGTTTTTGATTGTGGCTTGAGATTGACTGAGCTGTTTTTTACTGATGGACTTTGGAGGATCGTTCAGTTTTCTAACTCCGTAGTCAGTTCTTGTTAAGTCAGGTCATGAACGAATCAAGAAATAACATTACTGCTCTCTGGTCATCCGAACATGTTCTTTTCCTTGCATCAGTAGCCAACAAAGCGCTCCCAGACTTTTGGTGCCAGTTGTAAAATTGTCTGCTTGTCTTACCATGCGCGCTTATAACTGACTCATAAAGCATGTTGACTAGGGTGGAGACAGGTATGCTCCGTACAGAGTGGCAAGCATCACTTCAGAGGTCCAGGGTAATTAGCATCCTTTGGATATTCTCTCCATGTATGCAGGTGTGTTGGGAAAAGAGCAGGCAGAAGACTGGTAGGTTCTGAACCACTCAGTGGTAAACTGATGTATGACAAGCTAGATGTTGTGAGGGCCCTCTGAACAGTGTGGAAGGGCATATAGATCATTACAGTCTATGGAGATGGCGCTGCGAGGAGTTGCCAGGGAATCTGGCCGATGCTGAACACTCAAGGGAAAGGCGAGACGGATATACAGTCAGACAGTTACTGGTGCTATCAGAATTAGAACTCTTCGGTTGCTGCTAAAGATGGGACCGGAACGCTTGTGGGAGTGTCCCAAGTGCTATAATATCGATTCCTGATTCAACATTCAACATTTATACCCTGCGCGTTGACAACCGTTGAAATCTTCGACTGATTCCCTTCAGAACCAGTCCTTCAAGCTTCCGATACTCCTTCTGTTCCGTACGTTGCCCTTTTATCACAGGCAGCCTTGACTACGCCCTGTTTATAATAAAGTAGCTAATCTCCCATCAAAGGTGTCAGAACCTAACGAGAAACGCAATTCTCCAATGAAAAAACAACAGCATGATATTAGATCAATACGCCAATGTTTATATTCCGAGACGATGGCTCTAGGTAGCAACTAGGAGGGTAGAAACATTAGCCGGCTGCCAAATTTATTGAAACTCTTAACACACTTCTATACTATCACAGCCACCAGGAGTGTCGCGACTTTTATGCAGGGATAAATGACAACCTCCTGAACTAACACGAAGACAAGTTCATGCAACTATGATCCTCCTTAAACATGTGTATTCTGTGTTCCTGGGTAATTTTAACTCCCTAAGGAATGCCACTCTGCCAGATCGTCCAGCACTGACTTTATCTGCCAACCTCCTCAGCCTTCTTCATGGTTGTCGCAGCCATTTAAAAGCCTTTCACGAATTTGATAAAATGACGAAACAATGATCATATCTTGTTGTCACAGTGTGGACAATTAAAAAATCTCTTAGCTGCTTTCAGTATAGCAATCGTATATAAACCAAATCTCCCCCGTGTGGGTTCCGGGGCCCAGTAAAGGAAAAACAAGAATAGACCCACTGCCTACCCAAAAGCATGTCGTAAGAGTCGACAAATTTGAAGCTTCCTTCGAAGTCGGAGTGCATCTGCCTGAGAGGCCATAAGCCAGCAGTCTGCATAAAAATGAGTCAGATCTGTAAATCGGATGCGCACGAAACACTCAGGTTCTGGAACAGGACTGCAGTCCAGCAGTGGATAAACAACCAGAACTTTCCACCAGAGTTTACGGCTTGTAAACGCGAAGAAGAATAAGTAAACCAAATCTGTCCAAGTAGAGTCGTGGTAGAGCAGAAGTAGCACGACACCTATTTGCCTACACGAAGGTCTTACATTCTAATCTATATCGAGGCGGATAACAAAAATACAAACTGATTTAGACTTCAAGAGGGAACAAGCATAACATAAGTATTAGGAAAATGTTTCAGGACGTAAAAGCAGCAAGCATGCTGATGACCACATCTCACATGGAAGGCTGATTGGTCCATAAAGAAATGGGTTAGCACCATATACTGATTTCATCTAAAGTGCCAAGATTCCGGTACTTCATTGTATCTGTCCATGAGATATTTTTTTTTAAATTTTGTGTTGTATTCGCTGGCTGAAAATTAGGTAATCCGCACAAGTGAAGTCAATTTGAATGAAAATGAGCACATAAAGTACCAGTAAGATAAGGATACAGGAGAAATGAAGTAAAATGAAAGAAAGTATTAATTAAGAACTAACAACATGCAAATAATGAGAAAATGATGTGTGCAAAGAAAGTCCAACAAAGTGCACATTTAGCACAAATGAGTAAAAATAAATAAAGGGAAAATGAATCACAAATTAAGTAGCGAAAATATAAATAACATGGAATGAATCACAAATAAAGTATGGAAATTAGAAATTTAGCAGAATTAGGTTCACACAAATTATAAATAAAGTGTATTTAAGATATTTAAGACGTGAATGGGGATTCAGGTGGAATCACCTCATCCGGTAAGGAGCATCGTGTTCTAGGGGTGATACCCGACCGTCCTCCAGCTACTGTAAAAATAGTAGAAGAAGGAAAATAGGACATGTTGTGACCACTGGAAAGATCTGTGGAAGGAGGGATAGAGGAAGACAACGAGAGAAGATGCTTGACAGTCTTGTTGCATGACATGGAGGTGTGTCGGCACACGAACTGATACATGCTGCAGGAGATCGGGAATTATAGAGAGGCACGATCGCCCACGCCAGTCAGCAGGACACCTGATGATGATGATGAAGAGAAAAGAAATTATAAATACGTACACTTAAAAGGAAATACGGTCAAAATGAAGTAAAAGTTAGGAGTATCTACCAGCATCAGCCATTTAACCTTCAAAATCTATTGAGAGACTAAACCAAAATGTCTACACTACCATACAATCCACAGATAAAACAAACACAAACAAACACACACACACACACACGCACACACACACACACACAGGCGCGCGCGCACAAATAACTTGCCTGGCATCTATGTGGTGAAGTTGTATATTTGTAAACAAGACTCGAACTCGCTCCCCTGGCCTCGCGAAGAAGCGGTACCTACACGAAGAGCTGGGCTTGTAGTTTTGTGGGTAGCCTGGTGAGAAGAACTTGCCGTTGTGGTGGCTGCTGTTGCTGCGGAAGTCCCAGTCACAGCTCTTGCTGTCTACCCGCCAGCCGGTGGTGATGAAGTTTCCTGCGGCAGAACAATAAATATTAGATTTAAGAGGGCGTTTAACTGCCATTACTCATTGTATTTACCACTTTCACGATGTAGGCAGGTGGGGATCTAGGATTACATGACTAGAGCTGTCGCCATTCACTGTGCAGGATTTTATATTTGCCCCCGACACACACACATACCAAATCCTCAACCTTACCGAGGATTCAAACCCGGGTCTTCCGCTTGAGACACAAGGGTTCTAACCTTTAGGCCGCTCTTCTGAGAGGGCATTAACTACGGATTTTGATGTGATGACAATAATTACCAAGATGGCGACGTAAACAATGTGTGTTATTCAACGGGTGTGAAATTTTTCAGTGTTCTCGATGTGATTTACGTGTTTTCCAGTGTTCTCTTAAGGATGAATCTGTGTCAGGTCCAGCAAATCGGCAGTGGATTTAAGAGTTCACAAAAATCTGCTCTAGAAACAATATATAAGATTAGAAAATCCATCAAACGTAACAACAATCAGGGCTCGAGAACAGGTCAGCCATCTCTCACTCATTGTAAACAAACTAGCCAAGCGACAAAAATCGGAACATGGAATGTTTGTGGTCTTACAAATAAAGAACCAGAAATAGTAGAGTTCATGATGAAACATAAGATCGATATAATGGGAATATCAGATTGCAGAAAAAAAAGGCAACATAACAAAAGAAATTCATAACAACTATGTCATATTTTTGGAGCGGCGTTAAGAAAGAGCAGAGAGCGACTCACGGAGTCGGTTTTATTCTCCATCCGGATATCGCTAAACATGTAAAGAATATAGAATATGTATCTGAAAGGATTATAGTGTTGCAACTCTACGGGAAAACAAGAAATACAAGCATTGTGCAGGTATACGCACCCACCAATGATGGTTACACCTTGGAAGAGAAAGATAACTTCTTTGACTCAGTGTCGGATGTCATCAGTCAGATACACGCAAATGATGATCTTATGGTAATAGGTGACCTAAATAGGCATATAGGGCAGAGGCGAACACCGTGGGAGGAATATATCGGGCCACACTCAGACAACAGCAAAGTCTGCAATTACAACGGGCAGCGTATTTTAGAACTTTGTGCAGAGCATGGCCTTTATGTCACCAATAGTTTCTATCAGCATCGACAAAGCCAAATAAATACCTGGTATAAATGGAGCAACCCAGACCAGGCCGCACAGTTGGACTACATACTAAATCGACAAAAGAGAAGAAGCTTAGTAAAAGACGCAAGAGTAATTCCTAACATCTCTTTAAATACAGACCATCGACCGCTGATCGTATATCTAAGCGAAGCAACAATTAACAAAAAAACAAAAACATCAGTACGTACCTCAATGATTGACATAAGACACTTAAGCAATCTAGACAACCAAGCAAAAGTATAGGCAGAAATGACGGCGAAGATGGCTGAGCTAATAACATCAAGTGACAATGTGGAAGCTGCGTGGCAAAAATTTAAGAACACTCTTCTGAACTGCCTAACAACACTCTGTGGTATTAGATACACAGGAGGAAACGTTCAGGAAAAAAAAACAGCATGGTGGAATGATAACGTAAAACAAGCAGTGAAATGTAAAAAGGAGCAATACAAAAAATGGCTAAGATCCCGCTCAGATGACGATTATATCAAGTACAGAATTGCCAGGCGACAATCTGCAAGAGAAATTAAACAATCCAAGGAAACATCCTGGATCATGTATGGGGAAAATCTTACCAAAATCTGTGCTAAATCTAGTAGACAGTTTTACAAAACCATTGCAAAAATGAGGACTAGAGATGAACCATTCCAGCCATCTGAATATGTCAATGATAGTCAAGGCAAACCCATACATGAGGAGGGCAAGATCAGAGAAAGGTGGAAAGAATATTTTTAGACTCTTCTGAATGTAACAGGAAATGAGGAAACAGTACCATTCACACCCAGATGTACAAACGAGGAACAGCCTACAATAATCGAACAAGAAGTCAGAGAAGCAATCAGATGCAGTCCCAAAAATAAGGCATCAGGTGTTGATGGAATATCAGCCGAGGCAATACAGGCTTGTGGAGAAATTGGAGTCACCTGGCTACTCCACATATTTAGGAAAGCCTGGAATAAAAGAACTGTACCAATAGACTGGCAAAGAGCTCTTATAGTCCCAATTTGGAAAAGGAAAGGCAATAAGCAAGATTGTAACAATTACAGAGGCATCTCCCTTCTAAGCCACGTAGGAAAAATGTTTGCCAAAATTCTGGAACAACGAATTAGATCCGTTGTAGTACCGATCCTGAGCCCATCACAGGTCGGATTTAGGAAAGGAAGAGGGTGTACTGACGCTATTTTTGCTTTAAGACAAGTTAGCGAAAAGACAATAGAACACAGACATCAAATGAACATCGCTTTCATAGATCAAGAAAAAGCTTTCGATAGAGTAAACAGAAATTTATTATGGAAAGTTCTTGAAAACTACGGTATAAATGGAACAATTTTAGATTGTGTTAGGGCTATTTATAGACAAAGTGAAAGCGCCATTAGAACAAGAGCTGGCATCACAGACTGGTTCCCAGTAACATCAGGAGTAAGACAAGGTTGTGTATTATCACCTTTACTTTTCATAATATTTATGGACAATATTAATAAAATAGACATAACACCAACAGATGTCGATAAACAGGAGGACTTCAATGAGCTGCTCTTTGCCGACGATCAATGCATATTTCACAGTGATAGTAAACAGCTGCAAGACCACATGAACCTACTACACGACAGTTGCCTCAAGCATCATATGAAGATCAATACTGAAAAGACAGAAGTCATGAGCATAAGTAGAGAGCAACAGACCATCGACATAAAGATTCTAGATCACAGCCTAAAACAAGTGCAAGAATTTAAATACCTGGGAAGTATCTTTACATCCAATGGTAAAATAGACAGAGAGATTGAAGCAAGAATCCAACAAGCCAACAATGTCGCATACCAGCTTTGCCCCAATTTTAAAACACCCTGCTGTCCCAGCTGAGATAAAAAGACAAATTATAAATACAATCTTTATACCGACATTAGGTTATCAATGTCAGACTTGGACATTAACAAAAGAACATGAGAGAAGACTAACCACCTGTGAAATGAGATGTTTGAGAATGGCTGCGAATAAAACCAGAAGAGATCGAGTGAGAAACGATGTGATCACAAGAACTATTGGAACCCATACCCATCGTTAAATTTATTGAGAAGCAAAGAATGAAATGGTTTGGTCACCTAATGAGAATGGAACCAACGATGCCAGCATCAAGAGCATACAACATGAAAATCGAAACAACAAGAGGCAGGGGAAGACCAAGAAGAAGATGGATTGAAGGAGTCACGGACAACTTGAGACTTCATAACATCACGGCATATGAAGCGACTGAGCGCGCCCTGGCTCGGTTGCCGATCATCTGATAGACTGCGACGCCTAGCGGCACAAGCAGATTTTGACAAAAGAAGAAAAGAAGACAATAATTAAAGGTTTAAAGGATGAGGACAATAAGGGCTAGCTATCAGATTAGAGGACATTTCATTACAGGTTCAGATGCCACAGGACTTTAACTACAGGTCTGGAGGCATTAATAATATCAGCATAATTCATAGGCTGACCGTCGGTAGTGATAGCGGAGCAGCCAACCTATCACCTCAGCCTGTACACTCAAAGTGTGGGTGGGAACTTATCGAGCGATTAAATTGTCGCCACCGGACGCCGAATATATCCTGAGGGGAGTCGGAACTCACATGTAGGTACTCCATAGCACGGTTTGGATCCAATACAAATAAGATTTTACCTTGTTAAGGTGAGCAGTTTGATTGTTAAGTTAGACAATTTGGTTAAGGTGAGCGATGAGACTGCTAATGTGAGAAATTGGTTAACGTGGGCTATTTGATAGTTAAGGGGCCTGGGGGAAAAGGGAGGGGGCAGGGGGGGGGTATGGGGAGAATTCGAAAACGGACTCCTCCAGAGTTTATGTTGACCGTATTGTGACTCTCAGACGCTGCTAGAGCTGGATAAAACATCCAGTATAGGTAACTTAGCGGCGTCCGTGGCTAAGGCGTTGCGAGTCCGACTCGTGAGCCAGCATACCGCGATCGAAACCCACTGCAGGCTGCGTAGATTTTTGTCGTGGTATGGGACGTCGCAGGTCGACCCAGCCTAAAATGGGTTCCAGGATGGGCTGTCCTGTGAAAGTAAAGACAGCCGGCGTAATGCTCACCACATTACCCACAGAGTGCTGATGGTCTGTAAAAATATGGGACGCTCTGCCCATATGCCCGATGCGCCGAAAGGCGTGAAAAGGGATCTTTACTTTACTTTACTTATAGGTAACTTATGTCAGACATGTTCGTAGCCCTGATATTACTATTAGACACTAAAAGCGGTCGTAGTTGAAACAGCGAGAGTCAAAATTTTAGTTTATTCAGTGACAAACTGAATTTTGTTAACATTAAAAATTATGTGTATGCGACAGGGGGTATACAGATTTAGATAGGGGCATGGCATAAAAGAGTTGGGAATCAATGTGCGGACTCTCATTTTATTGTCCAGTTGATATACCACCATCTATCATTGTGGGTTCTGAGACCTCGTTGTGGGAGAACAAAGAATAGACTCACGTCCACCTCTCCAAATAAGCATGTCGTAAAATTCCACTAATTAGGGGTGCTTCCTTCGAATTCGCGATGCATCTGTCTGACAGGCAAGAAACATGCGGTATGCATATAAATACATCAGATCTGTAAAAGTGATGTGCAAGCAACAGTCGAGTTCTAGAACAAAACTAAAGTTTAAAAGTGGACGAGCAACAAGAATTTTTTGAGTTTACAGTCAGTGAAGGTGAAAAAAAAAAAGAAAAAGAAAAAAAAAGAAAAAAAAAGAAGAAGAAGAAGAAGAAGAAGAAGAAGAAGAAGAAGAAGAAGAAGAAGAAGAAGAAGAAGAAGAAGAAGAAGAAGAAGAAGAAGAAAAACAAGAAGAAGAAGAAGAAGAAGAAGAAGAAGAAGAGAAGAAGAAGAAGAAGAAGAAGAAGAAGAAGAAGAAGAAGAAAAAGAAAAAGAAGAAGAAAGTGAAAAAGAACACGAATAATAATAATAATAATAATAATAATAATAATAATAATAATAATAATAATAATAATAATAATAATAATAAGAATAATAAGAAGAAGAAGAAGAAGAAGAAGGAATTACACGATATGTATGAATAAAATCAGTCTTGCTGCCTTCACTTGTCATTATATTTTCACCTGGTGCCCATTTTATAATGGATCGGCCTGGAGCAAAGACGAACTGTTTAAATTACGCACAAAAGTATAAAAACGCTCATATAAATGTTTTCCGTGTGTGAATTCGAGAGCCCTATTGGGGCGGGGGTAGGGATAGATCCACTCCATTTAGCGTGAGTTGTGGTTATGTTTAAGAGACTTATTAGGGATTTCTGAAAATTAAACATTTGATCCCAAAAGGCGGAGACAGCAGAGCTTAGCTTTAAACACATTCTAAGGGCGAACGCGGAAGATGAAGAAATATATTCAAAGGCTTCAAAGCAACTTGTCGTAAAAAGCGAAATAATCCAGAAGTAAGTTAACAAAATCGAGAAAGACGGAACAGTGAGAGAAGAGAGGGTTTTTCTGTTCAAGGATATTCAGACAAGTTCTTAAAAAATTCCAGAGGAATGCTTGCCCCAGAGACTACATCGACATTGACAGAGTGAAACTTAAGCAAATAATAAAACGTCTGACAGATATATATCTTCTCGGCGAAAATATTAGCTTTATTACTTATAAATATTGGGAGCAACTGGGTAATAAAATGCACAATAATATGCGGCCGTTTGAGATAGCCATAGGAGAGATCAGCTAAGGTTTATACTTTCTCTCTCTCTCTCTCTCTCTCTCTCTCTCTCTCTCTCTCTCTCTCTCTCTCTCTCTCTCACTGTGTTTATAAATCTATTATCTCTCTTTCTCTATTTTTTTTTTCTTTCCCCGCCCTCTCTCTTTCTTACTTTCTCTCCTTTCTCCTAACACTTTTAATTGGCTTTTGGAGCTTTGGTTATGAGTTTTTCTTTTAGGTATATATCGTTCTTATTACGTTTTCCTGCCCATTTACGCACTAGTTGAACTTTTATTCATGCTTGCTTACCTGTTGCACAGGCTAGTCTATGTAACAGGGGTGTCACGTTGTATTTTTTTAGCGAAATGTTCTGTGTTGTGTCTTACTGGTTGTTGTGAGCAGCGGCCATAAAATGTTAACAGCTTTGAAACGCTGCAATCTCTCGTGGCACGTAGGCTAAGGCTGTGGGGTAGGGCTTTTGGGGTTAGGGCCAGTTCTAAATGGTTTGGAGGTCGTTAAAAGCGGTGACGTCATGTAATATAGAACACACGACATCGCTGGTGACTGCACAGAAGAGAGAGAGAGAGAGAGAGAGAGAGAGAGAGAGAGAGAGAGAGAGAGAGAGAGATAGAGAGAAAGAGAGAGAGAGAGAGAGAGAGAGAGAGAGAGAGACGGGGGCAGAGGCAAAATTGACATCCTGACATGGAAGAACAAGTGTAACAAATATTGCCATTCCTCTTCTGATAGTCCATGCTGTGTGGCTTAATAATCATGTCTGCCCACCAGCCTCTGTCGCGTGCACTTCCAATCGATTATGGCACAGCCGATCTTCCATGCCACTTTGTCACACTGTCCAGCATCTTCTCTCTAGATCTACCTGTCTCTTTTACCCTCCAACTTTCCCACCATGACGCCGTTCTCAAGTTCTCTCCTTCTCGTGATATGACCGAAGAATGTAGATTTTCTCTTTCCTATGTGCGTAATCAGTTCTCTTTTGTGAGTCAGTTTCTTTCAAGGCATGTTCATTACATACTTATTGCCACTGCATTGAGTGTGAGGTAACTAAAGGGTATGTGTACAGTGTACTTATTGCTACTCCATGGAGTGTGAGGTAACTAAAGGGTATGTGTACTTATTGCCACTGCATTGAGTGTTTGCTAACTAAAGGGTATGTGTAATTATTGCCACTCCATGGAGTGTGTGGTAACCAAAGGGTATGTGCACTTTCTGCCACTACATGGAGTGTGTGGTAACTAAAGAGGATGTGTACTTATTGCCACTCAATGGAGTGTGTGGTAACAAAACGGTATGTGTACTTATTACCACTGCACTGAGTGTGTGGTAACTAAAGGGGATGTGTACTTATTGCCACTCCATGGAGTGTGTGGTAACCAAAGGGTATGTGTATTTATTGCCACTACATATAGTGTGTGGTAACAAAAGGATATGTGTACAGTGTACTTATTGCCACTGCATTGAGTGTGTGGTAACTAAAGGGTATGTGTACATTTTTGCCGCTACATGGAGTGTGTGGTAAAGTTGACTTTCATTGAACAGAATTAACATATTGGGTGCTCATAATGACTCTACACATATAAATATAAAAGAAGTAGAAGACACAAGACAGTTTATAATAATATTAACAGGATTAGAACTGGTAATAGTTATATAGTATTTTTGTTTACTAAAAATAGCAGCAACAAGTGTTGTAACTGTAGCATCAGCAGCAGCCGGACTTGATATGGTAATAATCGCTATTCTAGTAGTGATAGTAGCAGTGGTAGCAATGGAATCAGTAGTAGTAGCAGCTGCAACAGCTGTTACAACATCAGCTACAGAGGTAGGTAGCAACAGTAGACGTGAATAGTAATGTCAGAAGCAACATTAGAAGCAAGAGACGCATGACCATCAGCGCCATTGGTAATCACATGTTTTTTTCCCCCCAGCTAGTGAGGAATATCATGCTTCTTTCCACGTCTTGCTGTCTCCATCAATATGTGTCAATTCGTATATTCACAGCTGTCTTTTCCCTGACAAAAGGCTGCCAAGATTAATCTTTCATGTTTTTCCTCCTTCGTTCAGTAATCCTAACACAAATCCCGTGTGGTGGCTCCTTCTGCCTCAATTACATGGTCTTTTAAGGAATGTTTTACGAGATAAAACAGTCAGTAATAAGTCAATATGTTTCAATGATACAAAACAATGTATAAGACACCAACAATATTACTGAGTTTTAAACATCGCATTTAGAAATTCAAAAGAGACATAACCGGTCGAGGCAGGCATTGTCGATAGAATGCGGCTTGAGCCATTGCAACCTTCACTTTGCGTGAAGTTATTACTCTCTTATTAGTCAAAGTGCATGCGGGTTTTGTTGGTAATGCCAAAGCTATGCGACCGACCGATTCTGCATTAGTTGCAGATAGCCATCTTTATGGATCACGCTGACATTGATACGTTTTTTTGACAGATAGAATGATTGAAAGTTTTTGACAGCTGTCCGACAATTAAGAGCAAAAGTTTTGTTCAAATTTTTTTTTTCCCAAATGTAAATGCTAATTCACGGAAACGGCCTAATATAAATCCTTACCTTTATCTAAAAAATGGAAGACGCCTTTAAATCCGCTGTAATTCCCAGGCTTGCCTTGTCGGTAATCTGAGTGGAACTCCAAAATAAGGCTACGACCAGAACTGTAGATAGTATTTTGTATTGAACTGTAACTTCCACAAAATTCAAGATCGTAATGGCTGTATTCGTTGACCTCTGGTCGCTCTAGGTTCTGGTAAATTCGGACGAAATCAAGACACCGCCTGAGAAACAAGGGAAAAGGAAAGGTTATGTTTTGCTTCTGCTGTTGTTATGGTCCGGGAAAAGAGTGCGGGACAACAGGTTAGTTACGGTGTTTGGGCTTAATATATATTATTCTGCTCCTGTGGTTTCGAAGGTTGCTCTATGTATTTAGTGCGTATGTATGCTATTGAAATTTCTGCGACTGCAGTTTGTACAAATTTTTCTACAAGGGACGGCGATGCACATTCTGTGGGGTTTTCATTGGCACAGGAATATAGCAACTATTCTATAAATGAGGTGGACCATTTGAAATTGCTATTACCCGGCTACCTGATGTAGGTTTGCAGATAATCTTATTGTTTATCATTATCATCATCAATAAGCAAGTCCTTTACAGAGCATCGCTCTGGAGACAGCAAGCCTGAAAGTCCCTCTTTATCTAGTCAATGGCCAGACTCGATAGCGTAGCTGGTTCAGACTGACTTTGTGGCAACCGGGTGACGAACTCCTTATGGTCCGGGTTTACGCCGTGAGGTAGGCAGAAAAGCCACATTTCTCCCAGATATACATAATCTATTATGGAATCAATGCTGAACGGTTGCGATATCCATTGTACCGAACCAAAGTGTTAACAACTCATGGTTTCTGGATATTAAAAAATCTAGTAAATTATCTGGCCCTATGTGCTTTCATATCCAATGCATCTTTATGTCGTTATCCACATTCGTGGAAGTCTACATCTGGCTCGTTATCCGGCAAAGGTACCCTCCGTTATCTCTAGGCAGCATGAAGGTAAACATGACCAAAATACCGCAGCTTTCAGCACAGGATGCTGTTTATGAGCCAGTTCCCCGCGATGCTCAGATCAGGCGGGATTTCAGCTTTTATCCTTTTCCTAGTCCAGGGTATTTTAAGAATGCGTATGTAACCTTTCTTTTGAAAAACTCCGATGATTTCTTTTTCCGTGACTGAGTAAGTTTCCATGGCTCACATTCATAAGTTACCATGTACAGGAGATCTTGCTACAAAAACTATTATGCTTTAGTGGTTTTGGCTTAAGATTCAAGATAATCTTTTGTGTGTGTGTGTGTGTGTGTGTGTGTGTGTGTGTGTGTGTGTGTGTGTGTGTGTGTCGACCACATCACCCAACGAGTGCCGATTTGTCTATACAAATACAAATATTGCAGCATGGCATCACATTCCCACAAATTTAACGTAATACTTGTGTTATTTATGTCCAACTTGCAGATATCTTTATACCTTAGTAGAAGCCGACTTCGACATCCTCTACACGTATGTATTTTACTATTGCAGTAGCGAAATGAGATCTTCTTCCTCGTCGCTCGCTGTTTAGAATTTGCGCGCGCAGCAAGCGTTGTGGTACTAGTAATCGGTAGCTTTCGAACGTTACAGTTTCTGAATGAGTGGCGTAAGCATGCAGCGACCGTCTTTTTTGCTATGTTCGAGACGTAAACAGAGTCGCTCGTTTGTAATAAATGGTAAACAGTAATAGGAAATATTAAAATAATTTGTCTTTGGTAATTTAAAATGTAAAGTTGAAAAATGACTGTACTACAGGAGAAATTACAAAAATAGTCTGATATCGTTGGATATAATGAATAGAGACAGTAAAAACACTGACTCTCTTAAAAAAGCAGCTCACAAAAAATGAGACTAGTTATCAATCAGGTTAAAGCAAAAAACTGGGTAACAAAAGAATAAATAATAACTTCGCCCACATACAAATCGATAATATGAAATCAAACGAACGGAAACATATAAGTATTTAGGCGAAAACATCAACTACTCCAATATACTAAGAGAAGAAATACAACCTAAAATACAGCCTGGGAAACATTATACTAATATGCCTTCAACATCTGCTAAAGTCAAAGTCTCTGTCTCATAACATCAATATCAAAATATGTTAATAAATTCTAAAACCTGTTGTTTTATATAGCTCTGAAACTTGGGCCAGAATTAAAAGATATGAAGCTTTATTACAAATTTTTGAAAACAGTTTTACCACGAATCCTTGGACCCATCAAAAATACAAGCAGCGGGGAATGGAGAGTGAATAGCAACAAAGAAAGTCATAATCTGTATAAGTCATCACTGATCACTGGCATCATCAGCGCTAATAGACTGAAATAGCTGGGGTATTTTGATATAATTTCTCATGACAGAGAAGTACGAACTGCATATACAAGGGAAGGGATTTGAAATATCGTAGACCACAAGTCAGACCAAGAAGACAAAGGAGATAAAATATCCAGACACCCTTACAAACACTTGGTGTCATCATGTAAAGAGAAGGCCAACCAGAGAGATGAATGTAGGCAGGTGATATCTATAGCAATGAAACTCAAGGACTAGAATGCTGAAGAAGAAGAAGAATTAAAATGTAAGCGGCGATTAGGACCGATTAGGAATTCCTCCAAGTGTGCCCTAACCATAGTTAACATACGCAACGAACGATAATTATGTATCAAAAATTCGTTAACGTGTATTGCAAGGAACCACACAATACATTTCGTGTTTACAAAGATTCTTGCTAACCAACTACAACTAATAATATAATTATAGTAATAATAATATTAATAATAATAACAATAATAATAATAATAAATATATCCCCCCTAGATCTAATTTGTTTCACTGTTGAGAGAGCATTCTTCTTGTATTACCGTAAGATACATAATAACAACAGGTAACTTACCCACTTGGGTCTGGCATCTTGAGGTCAAATTCAATGAAGGTCAGCTCCACAAGCTCTGAAGCGTCACCGATGAACGTGTAGAGAATACAGTTGACGTTGGGCGGGTAGAACTGGGGAAAGTTAGGCGAGGTGAAGCGGCCGCTGCTCAGCCCGTAGCTTTGATAAACAACACAGTCGCAGGCTGGGAAACAGTCATATGTGTGTTATGCTTTGTAGAGACACTTTTTAATGTCATTTTCAACATATTTTATGCTATGGAATTTATTACAGCAGAGGTTTCCATCCCTTTTGGAGTCGAGGACCTCATTTAAAAGAGGCAAAGTGATCAACGACCTTCTCGTCAATTTAAAATAGGCTTTTTTTTTCTTCACAGGGTAAATAAATGAAAACACATCGTAAATAGATCGCATGGGAAGAACGCAATGTGTTTTTCCTTTTTTTTTTTATTTTCGAAACTCACTACTGTCAGGCGACCTTACAGAAAACACTTTGCGACCCCATTTGGTGTTTAGGATCCATGAAGTGAAAACACGTGTAGTAGAGTGATTAAAAGCATGTCGCGAATAAAGGATATTGACTGCCTTTGCTCATGATTTGAAAATCACGTATTTTACAAACCAATGATAATAGGGACACTGGGTGCAGACATAAACTAAATGCAGGTGTTCTGAAAGAAATTAGGAACTCATTACCCGAATCAGGAGAAGATATATACATTCTTTAGTAATATCGTGAGATGGGGAGAGATGATGCTGAACAGTTTGGCAACATGGCATGAAGGATAATCTGTGTCAAAATAGATGGCATTAGACAAGAATAATGTGATGAATCTAATCCTGCTTCATCTTCTGGATCATCATCATCATCATTTTTTACATCTGCCGTAAAAGCGTTGCGGGGAGAAACACTTTGTGATCCACTTCTTGATGGGCAATAATGGCTATTGTTATTCCGTGTCGCTGTAGAAGCTCTTTAATGACACCAATCCAAATCTTCTAAGGCGGCCTCCTGTTTCACTTCAAATCTCTTTATGTTTGGCGCCTGCATGAGTAGTTGTTCTGGCTGCATTCTTACTAAATGACCAAACCATTTGATCTTCTGTTTCTCAAAGAATTTGCTGCATGGTGTTGTTCCTACAGTCTTTGTCTAATATTATTATTTCTAACTTTGTCTCGCATGGTTACGTTGGCGGCTTTTCTCAGGCATCACATTTCACATGAATTAATTTTACGAGGTTAGCTGTTGATAATATCCAAGTTTGACACTGGTAACAGTGTTGGTATAAATATACTGTTTATTATCGTGTTATTGTGGCTTATAATTATCTCTGGATGTTTTAATAACCGCTTCATATTCACCGACTTTTATCCCCCAGTGGAGCATAGGCTTTCAATCATCTCACGCCAAGTCGTCCTATACTTTGCCATGAATGCAGCACATCTCATGTCTACTTTATATTTGTAACTTCAAGCTCTAGCTTCCTTCTCCATGTGGGTTTATTTACCACTGTTTTTACAATAATCACTTAATCTCCTGCCCGGCTGAAACGAATAAAGATTGCATCAAGAAAATAACAAACTTTGTAAAGTCGATAGCATTACCATTGAAAAAAAAATATGCTAAAAATACATAAATACTCCAACGGTCGCTGGAAGTTCCTATAAAGGACCAAGTGATCATTGTGTATGTAGAGTATAAAAGAGGTAAGTAAAAACTAAAGTGCCCCTTTTTCACGCCTTTAGGCACATTGGGTAAATAGAAAAAGACCTATATTTTTTAGACTAAACGGCACTTGGTGGATTATGTGGTCGTCAGCATGACGTCAGCCGCCTTTACTTCTCATTACTGTACCTGGCACCCACTTAAGGCTGGGTCGACTTACGAGCTATGGTCATTTTTGAAAAAACTTTCGGCTCCTGTCGGACCCGAACCAACGACTTTCTGATCGGTAGGCGAGAGTCTAGTTGCTAGACAACGGCGTCTCCCATAAAAAAGGTACTCAAAATAAATAATAAAAGATCATAACTTTTAGCGTCTTTACTTCCTTTAACATTTTCTGTTATCGAGTTTACGGTGAGTCAAAACATAAGGGAGTAGGCGAACGTGAAGGCAAAACAAAATACAATTTACAATGTGGATTCAAATACTAGACAATGGGACCAGCAGGTTTCTGCTCTGCCCACTGCGCCTCTTTACTCTCGGTGTTCAACGTATCGTGCATAATGTATTGAATTAATATATCATACTTACCACTTGTGACTGTGTTCGTCACTGAGACAGTCAATAATATTCATAGATTAC